ACTAAACCACCAGATATCCTCTCATCTAGCATCAATCTAACAGCACCATTATAGAGCCTATAGCAGAACAGAAATGCATGGAATAGCCCTTTTCCAACCTGACAGGGAAAGAGGCTATAAATGAGACACACCTGGGGGAAGGGGGAAATTAATCAATTAACCAAAGCTGCATGGAGGAGAACAAAGAGAGGAGTGAGAGTGTTTATTGAAGTTACCGAAAGTATGATTCAGTTTCTGGACCTGTTACGCTCAAAATAAGAAATAGTTGACGAAGACTAAACTAAATCGGAGCAGCAAGGATCCATGAACCGGCTGGATACACAGAGCTTTCTTGGAGGACAAGGCCTTGCTGGAGGTGTGCTGATCCCGGACTGGACGTGTTGTGTTACTTTACGTTTGCTGTTGTGGTTTTTGTAATTATTTTTCACATTCATTAAAAGTTATCGTCACATCTATGGAGCTCTGGATGAAGCTTTATGTTATGAATCTAATATAATTATCATTATATTATTCTTCCTTCATTTGTCAGTTTAAACTGTTACTTTGTGTTTGTCTCATATTATTGTTTCTTTTTTCTTTGTAAAATGTGTCTGTTTCCTCGTGCTAGCAGTCTTTGTGCTAAGCTAACCCTTGTACTGTAGTGTTCTGGTTGTTTTTGTCGCCATAACAACAGAAACGTTCTCACAGATGTCTTCTCTCAGGTGATCAGGTTCTGGAGTGGAATGGTCGGCTTCTCCAGGGAGCCACATTTAATGAAGTTTACAATATTATCCTGGACTCCAAACCAGAACCACAGGTGGAGCTGGTGGTGTCCCGACCTATCGGGTAGGTCACAGGTCCATGAGTCGAACAATGTTCCTTAATATGAACCCTGTGACTCAGTGACCCGGTTCCTTTGTGAAATACCTAAAGGAGACTCTCCAACACGCTCAGTAAGCTTGATGTGGATCACAGAGAACATTATGTATAATTACAGTTTTTTACTTGGCCATGATCATTTTACATGTTATATCATGTCACGTGGAGCTGTGTGTTTTCCTGATATACTTAAATAACTTTCCATTTAGACATAAAGATGCAGCACAACACACCACAAACTATATGTTTTCTTATTTTCTCACATAGCTTTTAGTCCACAGAGAACCTGAAATTCTGTTCCATTTTTAACAGATTACTATTTGTGATTTTTTTCTTTTCAGAGATGTTTTAAAAGCAGCGGAAAGCTCCCATGTCCAGCTGGACTCCAGTAAGTTTATTATTCAACATAACCACCAGAAAGGGACATAAAACCACCACAAAGAGACATAAAACCACCACAAAAGAGACTGAAAAAGGCTGAAAGAGTCACACCAACAGTTTGAATAAAAGTAATAGAGCACAAAATGTTAAAGGAGAAATTTCAATAAGTCTGTGAGAATGCAGCGATTTCTTGGCATCTTCTCGATGTTCTGTGTTCAGGTTCCAGTTCCTTCAACCCTCAGAAAGTTGCTCCGTTCATCTCTGTCACGTCTCCCATGAGCCCCAGCGTTCTCTCCGGGAGGGTGTCTGTAAGTTTACCCAGCATGTATGCACCACCACATGGCACAGTCCACAGCAATCAGCTGCAAACAGATGTTTCATTTTGATGTGTGTGTTTCAGAGTGGTATCAGGCGTCCTCTGGTTCCCCGAATTCAGGTAACTGTAGCTTTAGAGAGGAGTTTTATAGTTATAGTGTTGAACAGGAAGCAGTTACCAGTAGCCTCTAATCCGTTACCAGTAGCCAATAGTCAATAACCAGTAGCCTCTAATCCGTTACCAGTACAGCTGTGTTAGGTTCTGTAGATGCTGCTGCTATCCTGATATGAACCCTGTGTGAGGTTCTATAGATGCTGCTGCTGTCCTGATATGAACCCTGTGTGTTCCAGGTGAAGCTATGGTATGATAAAGTGGGTCATCAGCTGATCGTCACGGTCCTCGGAGCCAAAGCACTTCCTGTCCGAGACGACGGCCGACCCAGGAATCCCTACGTTAAGATCTGCTTCCTGCCAGACAGAAGGTAGAACTAGAACCCGTCTGTGGTCTAGGTGATCCTTAGAACATAGAGGAGGGTCAGTGTTGCTTCTGGAAGTGAATGTGTAGAACTTTGTTTGTTACATTATTCCAACATATTTATGATCAGTTATCACTGATGGTCGATCTGCTGGTTACAAAACATCACTGACTTTATTCAGGACAGTTCTCCGTCTCCAGAACCGATTCAGGGACTAACTTAGGCAGATATTGGTGATGAGGCACATAGTTCTCTGGTTCATCTGCTGATCCTTGTGGTTCTGTGGTAGAACCTGCACAACCTCCTGCTTGGTTCTGTGTAACCAGTAGAGGGACTGTCTCCTATCTTTACAGTGATAAGAGTAAGCGCAGAACAAAGACGGTGAAGAAATCGGTGGAACCTCGGTGGAACCAGACCTTCATGTACTCTCCGGTCCCCCGACAGGAGTTCAGAGACCGGATGTTGGAGCTGGCGGTCTGGGATCAGGCCCGAGTTCGGGAGGAGGAGAGCCAGTTCCTGGGAGAGGTCAGAAGACACGGGGAACATAGAAACCGATATGTTCCACCTGTCTCTTCTTAAATAGTGTCCTAAGTTTAATCATCTCAGCTGTCTCTGTTATTTATGATCGAGGACTTCTTCTTCTCCTCCTCCTTCATAAAGATCTGCTAAGAGCTCAGTCTGATCAGGAGGGACTCAAAGTATCCATCCTCATGTCTGTTTTCTCCTCTCTGTCTCTGTGTCTTTGTGTCTGTCTCTCTCTCTGTGTCTTTGTGTCTCTGTGTCTTTGTGTCTCTCGTCTCTTGTCTCTGTGTCTCTCTGTCTTTTGTCTCTGTGTCTCTGGGTCTCTGGGTCTCTGGGTCCAGGTCCTGATAGAGCTGGACTCTGCTCTGTTGGACGATCAGCCTCATTGGTACAAACTTCATGATGTTTCCTCTGAGCTGCCCAGCACCTCCCCGTACCTGCAGAGGAGAGGACTGCAGCCTGAAGACAGTCCATCCAGCAGGGGGCTGCAGAGTGAGACACACACACACACACACACACACACACACACACACACACACACACAGTTAACTGTTGTTACCTGAGTTATAGTAAAGACCTTTGTCTGCAAAGCATCATGGGAGAAAAGTAAAAACAAATCAACAACAGAAGAATAAAAAACAAACCACAGGAATGTGTGTGTGAGTGTGTGTGTGTGTGTGTGTGTGTGTGTGTGTGTGTGTGTGTGTGTG